TCGAACACTTGGGTTTCAGGCTTTACTGAATAAGTCTTCAATGAATCTTCGACTTTTACGTCAATTTTCTTGTTGGGTATTTCAGCGAATACCTTGTAGTCATAGCCTTTTGAATTTTCCCCATCATCACTTTCAGTTTCCACCATCTCAATAAGAAATTCAAAATTATCCGCAGGGCTGGACCGTCCTTTATCCAAATCAGAATCAATCTCTGCTCCTGAGAACTCCTCTGATTCGCTCTTATCATCCAAACACACAGCCATATCTATATGCTCGGGAGCTTCAGGGATCGTCTTGGAAGAGGCAGACAACTTGTTCTCTATGTTGTCGAGCAGGTTGAGCATACGAGTGTTATTATCCATCATCGCCATCATCAGTCCCTGGATGGCGTCGAGATGATAATTGATAATAGTATAAGAGTAGAGAGCCATAGAGGATTGGAGTCCTCTCAATGAAAGCACCAATGTTATGAACTCAACAAAACGATACCTTTATTAAACTTCCAAATAAACTGATTACAATAGAAATGCAAAGGATATAGTCATAGAACTAAGGAAATAGCAATAGAAAGAAAGGAGATGAGGAGACAGAGCCACAGAGAGAAATAGAGGAGGAAGAGAGACCATGAGAGTGGAGTTTTCCAGATAACAATTCCCATAACCCTTTCTTGCTAGCACCTAGTCCTTTTTAACAGCTCATAATTATACTTTGTGGGCTTGGATTCCAAATTAACCTTTTTGAAGGCCTTCTGGCCCTTTGGCTTTTTCTCAGCCCAATAGCTCTTCTCAGCCCAATATTGGATTGGGGTTGATTCATAACACTTTGCTCATACTATGGACATCAAGATAGCTTAAAACTCTCTTTCGGAGCTGGTGGCCGGAATCAACACAACAATTCTATGCAGGCTATGTACCGTATGCGATGTTATTACCTGGGAACTATGGAAGAGAAGGTGTGCTATCAGGTATGGCCAAACTCAACAACAATAACAACAACAACAACAACCCAGTATAATCCCACTTAGTGGGGTCTGGGGAGGGTAGTATGTACGCACACCTTACCCCTACCCTAGGATAGAGAGGCTATTTCCAAATAGACCTCCGACATCCTTCCCTCCAAGAACTTCCCACCTTGCTCTTGGGGAGACTCGAACTCACAGTCTATTGGTTGGAAGTAGAGGTTGCTTACCATCAGAGCAACCCCTCTTATCAGGTATGGCCAAACTCAAACTCCTATATTTAGAGTTATTCCTCTGATTATTTTCAATACTATGAAAGCAGGGAACCATTCAGGGCCAAACCAGATTTTTTTTATGATTTCCAGTGCCTCCCCACACCCTAAGTTGCTCAGACACGGATGCGGATCTAGAGGTCGGATCATTCGAGATATAAATTCTAAGATTCGGGCATAAGGATACGGGTGGGGATCCGGCTAATTCAAAAATATAAAAATATCTCTAAATTATGAGAATTTTGAGGAATACTTATGTATAGCTTGTAAAGTATGGATTTCTTTTTATTCTCAACCTGTAGATAAGTAAAGGATAGATTTCCTAGATAAGATATGTTATTTTCTTCCCTAGTTTTGGTTCTGATTTCAGAAATCAAATTGTATCCCGTCTCGAATTTTTCGTCTGTCATGGTCAAAGTATTCAAAATTATTTGACCATATCCGGTATGGATTCCATACCACATTCATACTAATGTCGTGTCAACATGGATGTGACACATAAACTGCCGTGTCGGAGCAACTTAGCCACAACTGCCAAGGGAGCTAGCTTTCAGACATGACAAAAGAGGGATGGCTAATTTCAGAATTAGAAGGAAGAAAAAAGGAATTGATTCATCGTTTGTTTAACGTCCTTTTTGAGAGCTTACATTGTCAATGAGGAAGCCCCTTAGCCTCCAAATACTCTGGGCAAAAAAATAGAAATAAGCAAATACAGGTGGAAAGCTCCAAACATGTCTACATCCTCAGGCATGTGAGCTCCAAGTACTCCTATGGCTGGCTAGAATGTGAAGAATCCTTTTCTTCTCTCCATATCTGTCAAGAAAATAGGTAAGCAAATTTCTCACTTTTGCCAGTTCAAATTATTTCCAACCAGAGAGCCATAAATATGAACGAGCGAGGGGTATCCAGGATTTAAGATTAATTGGTTTCAATTTTTAAGATTCTCAGCATTGAATTCATTATACTGTTAAAATTTTTAGGTTCAGATCTAATATTTGTTAAAATTTAGTAGATTTTTACGTATAAATTTATATTTTGTATCGAAAGTTATAGATTCAGTTCAACCCATAACATAAAAGCTACATATGGAATCATGTCGCGTGCTTTGCAGTTACTTCACGACCAACGCACCCGCGTTGTTGGAAAAAGAAAAATATTATCAGATATTAGAGTATGTTTTGCACAGCATCACAAAATTTCGCAAACCACACGTTTCAATTCCTTTTCCAATTGCCATGTATTTTATACTATAAACTTTGTACCTATGCTTTACTCTATGATAATACATTCAAAGTTTAAAATTCTTCCTTAATTTATGAACTATTACTCAAAAGTGACAGTCACTGACTCATACACATGAATATTATAGCTGGCTAGCTAAAGTGGAAGGTTTTTGGTAGTATCAGAATAAAAATAAAAAGAATTAATATGCTCTTCACCATCTTTTCATTGATTAATTTTGATTCTACTCTTATGAGGAATAATAAATTACTAGTAAGACTTTTGATTGTCTTTTCCAAAAAAAAAGAAACTTTCGATTGTGTTAATATAGTTGTGTCATTCTTCTTATATATATATATGCTACCACCCTCTCAATCTCTCATCTTTCAAAACAAGAGGAACAAAGAAAGGAGAATCATCCAAATTAAAGTGGTAACTCTCTGCATTTCCCATTCTATATGCTTAATACAAGAAACTAATTATATTCTTAATTAATTTGTTACATCAAGTTACAGTATATATGTACGTATGTATGTATATACGTACATATATATATATATATATATATGCATATGTATTGTATGTGCATCCGCGGGCATATATATGTTCGTATATGTATGTGTGCACGCAAAATATCATTCTTATTACGATGAAATTTTTGCATAAAAAGAAGTCTTTCAATATGTATATTAACTGTTGAAAAAAAAATAGGTATATTAATTGTTGTGTTTCATTGAAGTGTTGTGCCATTACGATTTTAAATACTCCATTTTATACGGTCTATAATTTTTAGATATGCATGGGTTTTTTTCTTTTTTTGTTAGCTTCCAGACCAACACTAAGAAAATTAATATAATACTGTTTACTAACCATCTCTATCTCTCTTTTTAGTAGAATTATAGTGTCAAGAAAGTTATCCAAAATCAGGGATGGCAAACAATACTGAGATTGTTCCACTAGATCATCAAATTGCACTACCTGATCAAAATTCTCTAAGAGAAGCTACAAAAGATGAGGTATATCTCTTTCTATACATATATTTGTCACTCACAAAACAAATACTTAAAGTGATGACAAAAGATTAGTTTCATGTGGATATATATCTTTAATAACTGTGATTATTTTGTTCTTTATTATGTCGGGATAAATGATAAAGAAGTAAAGAACTTTAAAAAGTAAGAAAAGGTATGACAGGTTTTTGTTCCGGCATCTTTTTCTTTCAGTGTCTCTTTATCCATTAGGAGTAATTATTTATTTTAAAGTTACTTTTTTTTAAACTTTCTACTTCTTTAAGAATTACATTAATTGATGGGACCAAAATAGTTATCATGAGTAGTTTGAAAAAATGTACTCCCTCTGTCCCAAAAAATATACACTTCGGATTTCAATAATCAAAACTTGTTAACTTTGTCCATAAATTCGGACATAAAGTTTTTAAGTTTATTAAATAAAATATATATATTTCAAAACTACATATAACAAGTACTATTAAGTGTCAGTAATTAACAATTAAAAATATTTTAAAAGGTATATGAAAGAGTTATTGTGATTAAAAAATAACTCATTTGACTGTTGCAATCCAAAAAAGTATCATCTTTTTTGGACGGAGGGAGTAATGACTGGTTCTCATAGTACTTGCAATCAACATTTAAATTATTTACATGGTTATTGCATAGTCTTGTTAGAGGTGTACAAACCGAACAGGAAATCGCACAAAACGAAAAGTCAAATCAAATCAATTAAAAACTCCGATTAAATTTGGTATTGAGTAAAAAATCTGAATCAAACTGACATATAAATATATCATTTTTATATATACTTTTAAGACTTTTCATAAAAAATTTCTTTAAAAAATATCTAGAAATATTTGCGGTTCTCTTATGGAATGTAATATTTAGTTAAATATGAAATGCTTTATTTATTAACTTTAAATAATGGGTTATATGATCACTTTCTTATCAAGTGCTAGTGAAATGCGTCAATTTAATTTATGCATCAATAAATAATGGGTTCTCTTTGTTCTTCCATATTCTTATGTCAAGATCTATTAAATTTTCATATTCTTTTCGAATTTGAAGTGGTGTTTTGATAATTTAAAATTAAATTGAACATATCATGATGTAGGTATCATATTATTTTTTATTTTTAATTATTCAATTCAGAACCTTAAAAGTGTACATCAACAAAAACATTATTGTCAGACGTCTAAAAAAATAACTATCATATATTACTAAGAAAATTCTCCCATAAAAATATGTTAATAGATCATATATTTGTCATTTTCTTTATTTTTAATAAACATGTATTTACTTGTAAAATATTCAACAAAGTAAGATTGAAATAATATTTATGTAGCAGAAAAACCCGAAAAATCCAACAAAATCGAACCAATCCAAACCGATATAGTCAGGGGCGGCCCGACGAATTTTGTGTCCTAAAGCCAAATTTTACAAGGGGTCTTAATTTTTTTTTAATTATTACTTTTTTAATTTGAAATCCATTTTTCTAATTTTTTTTAGATGCAAAGTTGTTAATAACTTTTTTATAATCATTTTTTTCTAATAATTCTTTCTCAATTGACATTATATTTAATCCATTTAACCTCTCTTCAAATATTATTGAGCTTAATTAAGATTTTATCAATTTTAACGGTAACATGAGTTATTAACATTATTCTATAAGCAATATAAGCATTTGAAAAAGAATCAAATCTTTTTATTTGATTGAGTGTATCAATTAAACTGTTATCTTCTAGTTGTACTATTTTCTATAACACTTTTAATTTAGAAAATAAATCTAAACCATCATCAATATCAGATTGATTATTATGCTTCAAGGAACACTCAAGATTAAGGCAATATTTTTTTAAATTTCCATCATTTATTGATCTCAGTTTTTTACGCTAAATAGAAAACAAAAAAAATATTTTCATATGCTTCGAATTGTTCAAATTTATTTTGAAGTGAAAAAAAATTGTCTTGTCTACTATGTATAAAAAATAATTTAACTCAAAAGGACTCTTCAACAGATTTTGAGATTTCAATATCAATATTCTCGTCAAATTATTTTTTTTCTTTATCACACGTTTCTTACGATGTTCGAGTTTGATTTTCATTTCAAATGCAATTTTCTTGGTAGAAATCATACTAGTTGCAAATCTTTTTACCCCTTAAGCTTTTAAAACCACAAGTTTTAAAAGTTTTTTTTTTCTTAAGCTCTGTTGCGAGGCAAACAAACTCGTCTAAATTGAAATATATAGAGTATATAATATATTAGGTGTAACAAAAAATGGGCCCCCCCACAAATGTGGGGCCTAAAGCAGTTGCTTTACCTACTTTAGGGTAGGGCCGCTCCTGGATATAATTGGTTTGGTTTGGTTTTGATAAAAAACGAATCAATCCGATCCATGTATAACCCTAGTACTCGAAATCAACCTTTTTCTTACAGTGACTTCCCTCGTATACTTCTTTTCTAAGCAGTTTTTACACTCGAACTTGTGGAATTTACCTCGGAAGTTCCTTCTGTTCGTTCTCAAATGAAACTAATCAAAAGAAAAAGAAACAAACAGACGATCAATCAAAACTAAAAGATACCAGTCGCTTCTTTTCTTTAGTCTTTGTTGTTCGTCTTTCTCCGTGTCACTCTTCTTTAGACAAACTTTTTTCCGATTCTTTTGATAAATTGACTAACTATTTTCTCTACTCATGAAAATGTGAAAATGAGAATTATTATGACCTTTTTACAACTAATTACAGATACAAGAAGGAAGGAAAGTGGACCATTTAATCGAGATAAAGGAAACAAGTGGTCAAGATCAACTGGCGTTACAAACTAAAAAATCTGCAAATCAAATCTTTGATGAAAGATTTAAGGATTTGGACAATACATCTATCAAATCCACTACAATATTCAAAGTAAATATGGGGCTACGAAAATCAAATCCAGATGCTTATACACCATTGTTGATCTGCATTGGTCCTTACCATAAAAAGAATCCTGAACTCGACACCATGGAAAAGTACAAACTGTTGTACCTACAACGGTTTCTCCAACGGAAAGAAGGGATTGATGTGGAAAGTTGCATTAGTGAAATTGAGAAACTAAAAGATGAAGCACTAAAGTGTTATGATGATAACCTTGACAGTGATAGTGTTGTCAAATTTTCACAAATGATGTTGCTTGATGGTTGTTTTGTGGTTGAGTTTATTCGAGAGCGTTGTGAAGTTGAGCCAAGAGAAGAATCAAACCAAATTATCAACTTGGAATGGATGATAAATCAAGTATGTCGAGACATGGTGTTACTAGAAAACCAACTGCCTTTCTTTGTTCTCACCATGCTATATGACACGACAAAGCAACCTACAGAACAAAGCTTCTTGAATATGGCGAGAAGGGCATTACTTGATATTTTCCCAAAAGTGACATTTAAACCCACATCAGAAATCGACGATTTTAATGCAGAAGGAATCGACCATTTACTAGATGCAGTACACATGTTTTGTCGCCCATCACATGATCAGAAAACTAGAGAAAGCAAGAATGCTAGCAGCAGGGGAAACGAATGTTGCAAGATAAGTTTCTGCGGGAACATTTTGCAATTAACCAGGTCAAAAGAAATACCCAATGTCCTTGATTTATGGGATTGCTATCATATTCCAAGTGTAACAGAGCTTTATGATGCTGGAGTTAGCTTCAAAAAAATAGGAACAGTGGATGAAGATTATAAGGATAAAACAACCTTATTCGATATCAAGTTCAAAAAGGGGATAATGAAAATCCCCTGTTTCACAATCGAGGATACTATGGAAACCTTCATGCGAAATTTAATAGCTTATGAGCAACACTGTTCTGATGTATATCCTTATTTTTCGAATTATGCTCATATAATGACTCAACTTATTGGCTCACATAGAGATGTTAATCTCCTTCGCCAAAATAAAATCATCCTTAAAGATCNATCCTAAACATTAAGCCTTCTTTTATAGGGGAAAAGTTTCCCACCAACTCCTTAACCCACCGATATGGGATGGAAATTTGACATAATTCAACATCAAGGAGATGACAAAGAAGTGGCCAGCATATTCAAAAAACTTTCAAGTGGGGTGAAAGTCTATTACATAGAAGAATGCAGCAAATTGATCCAACATTGTGAAAAGCCATGGAGTCAAATGATGGCAAGTTTGAGGCACAATTATTTTCAGAGTCCTTGGGCTGGAGCTTCAACTGTGGCAGCCGTTATACTTCTCATACTCACAGTTATACAGACAGTTCTAGCTTTCACAGGTGAGGTTAAGTAGTCGTCGTAGTAAATACATACAAAGGTTGACTGAATGTCTCCAGTCTACTGTATTCTCACTATTCCATGGATGCAATTTGTGTGTTGACCATGAGCTTAATATTGTGCCAATGATTGTGAATTAATTGATTATAGGTTAAGAGAAGCATGCATAATGAAAGTTCTCTCTTTTCAGGTAGTGTCTTCATAGAAGAAGCAGATTTTGAATTATCAACCCCCACACCGCTCTCCTTCTCTATAAAAAATACAATCAATTACCATTACCATCTATTCCAGTTTAACCCGTTAATGCATGCCAAATCCTGCTAAACTTATCCATTGATCGATTAGTATATGTGATTTTGATACACGATCAAGAGAAGAAAAATAACTGATGAAGTGGAATTGATACATCAAAGAGATATTGTGGATATATAGAAAGATCAAATGTAAAAGCTTTTTGTTTCCAAGGGTTGAACAGCATCCACAAATGGCCTACCAAACCGACCATTTACACTTCCAAATTGAGATCAATGTAAAGCTTGACAAAACATACAAACGAATGCAAGGAAGATGGTAATCAAGAAAAGCTATGGTATATGGTCGTTACATCTTGCAGCTTGCCTCTATTTATTGCATTCTTAATCATCTTCTCTTTCAGGTGGAAGACCACAAGGCAAAAGCATTTTCTGCACAAGCAAAAGCAACTATGCATTGTCAGTAATAGTATAAGACCAAAATCAAGTATGCATATTCTTAGTCTGTCATATCTACATCAAACTCTATGGAAATGCAATACTTTTGCTCGTCCTATGTTACAAAATGGCAAGAATATTAGCAAGTTGTAATCATTCCGTGGGCGGGTGACAAACAAACTTGAACATTCTGTCTTCTACGTGAAACAGCCAACACTTTCATCAACACTGATTTCACTCAGGAATTGGTTGGCTCTCCAGATTAGCCTAAAATTTACTGCATTGAACAGGTGTTCCTACAAACATTCACAAGTAGGGTCATGTTGAGATGACAACTAACTGATATCTAATATAGCCTTTCCAAAAGGCGTACACATTGGACATAAGTCTCCTTTCTTTATGTTATCTGACTAACCTCTAGCCAATAAAACAATTTTAAGTGGCAACATAGCAATGGATATTGGGCTTAACAAGGTTTAACCACTAAGAATAACAACAGGAGACACAGTTAGTCTAACCGGAGCTCTACATCACAGACTTTAAGACTTCTAAGTTCACAAAAATAGTTACTCCTTCCGATCAATTAGTGTGGAGTACTTTCCTTTTTAGCATGTCCCAAAAAGAATGTCATACTTCCATTTTTAGAAATAGTTTAACTTTAAACTTATAATTTTACCATTAATGAGATGATTTAAAGCCACACAAATTTCTATGGCTTGTTTTGAACCACAAGTCTCGAAAGTCTTTCTTTCTCAAATTCCGTGCTCAATCAAACACCGCCAAATAATATGAGACAGAGGGAGCATTGTTTTGGAACTTTCTATTCGAGGAAGCCACAAAAAGTCCATTGTTTAATGTTTCAGTCAAAAGAACTACATGTTATCCTCCCTTTTCAAAAATGTTTGCTTCCGTATACTTACCCTCTGTGGTAAGGAAGTCCTATTAAGGTTGGGATGTCCTTGGTATGTTGGAAAGAAGTTATGATTACGTGCAGTCCCTACAGGAAGGTTCAAGAAACACATCTTCCCTTTTAATCTTTTCAGTAGAGCTTGACCTGAAATGATTTGAACCAGCAAGAGCCTCCAATAGGAAAATGTTGGAATCCTCAAAGACTAGTCTCTCCAGAATCCAGATAGAATCATTCTAATACAGGTGCAACTTTATATAAAGGGCCAAATGGAGCTCAACAGTGAACTAGCACCCAAACAGCTCCTCTAGCTCTATGCAATTCAAAATTTAATGGCATACACTCAAAAACTTTAGCACTAAAAAACAGAGGGCATTCTGCAATGGAATAAGATGCCATATGCATCTTCTTCTAGCAGATGAAGTTGAATGCTTTCAAGTTGCAGCGTTTACTCAGCAAAAAGACACTAGCTTTAGGTAGAGCCAATTTACTCAAGTCTAGCAAGCACATCTTCTAGCGAATGAAACTGAATGGCTTCAAGTGGCAGGATTAATCAGCAAAAGGACAAACTAGTTTAATTAGAGCCAATTCACTCGGGTCTAGCAAGCATATAGCAAAGGATAAAGAATACTTCCAAAAGGTGGCAAACCTCATGAGCGACATTAATTCCTCGACATACCCTCAAACTATAGGTACACATTTTGACATACTCTCCCTAATGATTACAAACATCTTGAAATATTTTCTCTACATTATCTAAATCCAGCATATTAGCATAACCCCCCAGATTTACCACCAAAAGCTCCCCCAAAACCCACGTCGATTCCAACTTTATGGGTCTAGCATCTACTTCCAAGTCTCCAATTTTGTGGTAGATCAGATCCTTGATACTTTTTTTTGGAGCTTTAAATAAACATGATAATAGTTCGAATTTGATCCAACAGCACGAAATCCAAGTTTCTAACCCTCCCCCACCCCAATGAAAAGAATAATGAATAGGAAAAACACACACATTACACATGCAAAGACACAAAGATTGACAATTCTCCCTCCCACCTTCTTACAAGCTACTCCCTGGCATCCCAGTTTATGAACTGGGCATGGAGTTAAAAAATAAAACTTCCAAAACTTGTGGTATGAAACAAGTCTATAAATCATCTAATTAAGGGTAAAATGTAAAGTATAAAGTTAAATTGTTTCTAAATATAGAAAAGTATCTTTTTTATTTCACAGACTAAAAAGGAAACACCCGCCCATAAATTAGGACAGACGAAGTAATTTACCAAAAATCTTAGCATTATATATGGAAAGCACTAATCAGATTTATGCCAAAGAATGCATTCATCATATTGAAATTGAGTTTGGAAATAGTACAACTTTTTTTGATAACCGAGATACCCCGAGCGCCAGTGGCGCACGGTTCAAAACTCGATGGGTAATGGCTGCTCCTCTACCCTTCTCCACTTAACTACCATGCTTTTTTTGTGGCAGGATTCAAACTCGTGATGTGCAACTATCATGCAGAAGAGCCCTACACTCTTACCATTAGACCAAGAAAGTGCNGGGGGGGCACCAAGAAGGTGCTACAACTTATTCTGCAACTAAATCGTCTTTTCAACAAAAGATTGCTCTTGCGCAACCTATAATCTTAACAACAAAGCAGCGAGTCCTATTAACTAGTTGGTAAAAGAACATACAACAGTATGCTAAAAGCACTTAATTCACTCATTATGCAAGTCAACAATAAAACTAAGGAAACAATTCATTGTGCAAGCAGGCTAATTAAGAACTGAAGAAAACAAGATAAGAATTTTTAACAAGCACAAACCTGCATAAAATTGTAGCGTTCTCTTCCAATTGATTCATTTTCTGCAATGGCAAAATACGCCAACATTGGGTAGTGTCCAACATAAGAGGCATAGCTGTCACGCTGAATGTTTACTGCCCATTCACTAAACCGAACAAAGAATATCCAAAACATCAGATCCTCCACAGCTATTAGAATGAAAATAATAAACTCTAAACACAGTCAATTAATGTCAAACAAAGATGATAAATAATACACCTAGGGAACCATATTCGACAAAACCAGATATAAATATCTATTTCAAAAAATGCATAGGGAACTTACAATCTAGTCAAGTCGGCATGTCCAGTTCCAACGTATTTAGCTTGTAAATGCTCAAGCTGGGAGTTGATATTGAACCTGTCACTAGCCTGTACTATGAAAAAAGGGATTAATTCGTTAATTAACTGTAAAATCAACGAACTCGCGAACAGAAGAAAATTCCAAAGTCGTATACTGAACAGAAAACTAAACTAGGGTTTTGTAAGACAATTTCGGGGCTTAATCGTGGTACTAATTAATGAAATTTGAAGCAAAAAAGATGATAATCGAAATTGAATATATGGAGTAGGATTTACGCATTTTTATGAAACTTACCTGCATTTTTGTACACCGCGAAGATCAAAAGAGAAGAGGTTAAAAAACAGAGATGTGTAGTGTAGGGGACCGAAAGGGGAAGAGACGCTCTCCGGTATATAACCCTTTTCTTTGTTAGGCTTTTAACACATTTGGCAACTTGGTCGAAAATAATTACATTCCCTAGCCAAATATATTAAATATATTATTTTATACATTATTATACAAAAATATATATTTATCAGCTATTATTTTGGTAGGCGGTAGTACTTTTTTTAATATCAAATCATTTAAAAACTAATTACAGATAATTGTGTATAATAATTCAAATTTAAACGATTTGAAAGATAAAATAACAATATGATATAACAGGTTAAATAAAATAGTAGTCACCGATGCACTAGTTAATAAACAAGGATATGTTTAAGACTTTGTGGGCAGAGTTATTGGGCATCATACTGGTAGGTAATAACAGGTACTCAATGGAATAGTCCAGGTATGCACAAGCTGATTTAAACAAATAAATAAACAAAGATATGAACGTGACAAATATCGGTCAATCAATTTAGTTTACTTTTATTACACAAATAAATCTAGTATAATCCCACAAGTGGGGAATTATCACATGTTATATCTCGAAATTACCACGTCAGCTGTTAGAGTCAATTTATTTTACTTTTATTAGTAGCAATACTATTACTACTCAAATTTAAAGAATATTTTATGCTACTAGTGGATAAAAGTATGTTTCACGTTGGAACTAACATAGAACAATACATGAGTGTAAATTTGAGAAAATGCCTTCAAGAGAGTTGAGAACTTTCAGAATTTACATCTTATAATTACTGGTGTTTTATTTATCAAAGTATTGAAGTTTATATTATTATATTTTGAGCAAGCGTGTAAGGAAAATGACTTAAAACTAATACTCCCAAGTAATAAACTAATGAGTCTTCAAGTACAATATGATTCTTAGAAAGGAAATCATAATACAATAACAACAACAACAACAAACCCAGTTATCCCATACAAGGAAATGATAATACGATCCTATAAAATAAAATGTAATGTATATGATCATGAGCCATATACATAGCCTAACTGTAATTTTTTCTTCTTTTTTTCCCCTTAATCAAGTCACGATTTTATTGCCACGTTGAAATGAGTACAATGAAGAAGGGGGATATAACCAAAAACCTTCTTTACAAGATGTGAGCGAGATAAATCCAGTTAGAGGCATTAGCTCAACTAACTTTCCTTCAAAAAACAAAAAAGTGATGGCTTCTCCTCTTGACTCGAAATGATGGAAGTTGCCATCTATCGGCATTCAATGAGCCTTTGACTCGAAATGATGGAAGTTGCCATCTATCGGCATTCAATGAGCCTCTAATCTGGCGTCGCAGAATATCAAAAGCTGTGGTATATGTACACTTCATCAGTTGAATGTCTCAGAGTAGCCAATTTATCGGCTACCTTGTTTGCCTCTCTGAAACCATGCCTCGTGATGATGCCATGGTTAATCACCACGATCCTTAGCTCCTTAAACTATTTGAGTTTAACAAAAATAATTGGTGGTCTGATCCATTTGACAATGATGATGGATACCTCATAGAGTGTGTGATCGAAAAGCTTGCAATCACCAAAAACCAAATTTCCAAAATGAGGTTTAACCTTGTTGATGATGTTGAATAAGATTAATGAGGTAGATCTTGCAATGGATGGCCTTTCAAGTTCATAGTTTGAACTGCAACTTGATCTCCGTCGTTCTATTTCGCTTCTTACTCAGTTACTCGTTTATTTTCGTTGGGATTTCAATCAACGTGCTTCTGATACTCGTAATGGTAAATTTGTCATTTGCTTCACAGGTTCACAGACATAAATCTTATGTCTCCTCTTGGAACATTTTCCCGAGTCTCCTAAGGAAGTCAAAGTGAGTAAAGTACTCACGGAGTGTATTTTCAAAAGCCTCATTACCTTAAGTGACTTCTTGAACAATAAGCTGATTTCTGGTGTGTCATTCCTGGAGTAAGTATGGTTTTATTGACACCCTCTGGCGCTAACGTTGCAGAAAGTATCCACAAAGAGGCAGTTCATCTGGACCACCTGTAAGCTTTGCAATCTTTAGATTCATTCGTCACAACACTAAACTGAAGAAAGCATCTTCAGCCGGCCCACGTGGGACACCAAAGTGGATAGACTTGAGTGCATCTACAATCACTTCCATTCCTATGTGACAACTGCCTTTGACAAGGATGACATCACCACTATTTAAAAAATTGATAATTTTAGGAGCCATCTGGCGAGCATCAGTGGTGCATACCACTTTTATCTCCCGAGCACAGTCAATACTCTCAGCTGCACGTATAAACCTTGTTCCAACAAGTGCAATTACATCAAAGTGCGCATCACAGCAACTCTGTAGCATCAACTCATGGAAGTTGATTTCCATTGGACCAAGTTCAAGCATGTCTCCAAGTATAGCAACTCGTTTACCTTTGCAGTCCATGTTTCTTAACAAGTCAATGGCAGCTTGAGTACTAGCTGGACTTGCATTGTAAACATCATTTATTATTGTAATCCCATTTTCAGCTACTTCAAGTTCTGATCTCCTGTGAACAGGTGTAAATCTGGATAAGGATTTTCCTGCTAGAGCAAGAGGAACACCAAGTGCAGTAGCCACAGCAGCAGCTGCACATGCATTTATGGCCAGATGCAGGCCAGGACAGGAGATTACGAATTTAACCCTGAATATTCACCGCCGTGTCAAATAGATAGAACTGTAAATACTAAATAACAATGACACTTTTACAAGAATATAAAGGTAGTTAGTTGCAGTTGAAGGAACATACAGATGAACTCCAAATAACCTAAAATAATGCAGAGAAATTTTAGAAATATACATAGTTTTGCACTTCAATGATGGCCTTGGCTTTTGAAGGGTTTCTCATCATTTATTCACAGAATATCAACTTAAAGTTCATAACTTTTTCCTGAATAAATTACTATCTTCTCTTTGAATTACCAGAATGTAACATGCCGGTATAGTTACATTTAAAAACACTAT